CAACAAGTAGGTGCCCATGTCCAGTTGGAACCAAATTGCCCCTTTCTTGACCTACAGCTCAATAGACAAGAAGACCCTTCTAGGAGCACCAGGGAGTTGACGATGACAGAATCAGTTTCCCAGGGCTGCATCTTTGTTCAGCCCTCTCACTCTGCCTCAATCCTTCCTTTATTTAACCAGAAAACTCATTAGAGCACCCCATGGACAGGAACGAGACCCTGAAGCTCACTTTGCTTTTCTGATATGGCCATGGTGAGGAAAGCTCCTTCCTTGTTTTCTTCATTACTTTCCATTGGTTTTGAGATGAGTGGCTGCACCTGATTTGCTGGGACCCAAGGGTCAGATATCTGGCCTCAAACTGCAGCAACATTCCCAGAGTTCTGGCTCCTAGCCACCCCACCTACTGTCACATGGAGGGCTTCATGTGTAGGTGCTCCTATCGGTCTCAGCACAGCCTGATTGTACTGTGTGACTTTTTTTTTAAACTGTATGGCTTCTGGGAGTTTTCAGTCCATCCCACAAAACTCTTCACTCTGTTCTAGTGGCCATGTTACTCTCTGTTCCTCGAAACAGCCCATCTGACCTGCAAAGACTGACCTCCCCATTTTCCAGGGCCCTGCTTCTAATGCAACAGCCTGTGATACCACAGAGAAAGGTCATCTTGTAATGTCACAACCTTCAATGATTGCAATAGGAATGTCAGTGCCCTATGGCAGGAGACAATGTTGGACAGGAAGGCTCTGGTTGTTTCTGTAGTGCTTGGCTTAATGGCTGGGAGAGAACAGATTGCAAACAGGTTTGGGGGATATGGCTGCAGAGGTTACTGGTCACCTCGACTGGTTTTTTGAGTGGTTCTGACTTCTTGGAGATAAAACCTCCTGCTGAGAAGCTTGAAGAACTGGGAGCCATCCTAGGTCTCATTGCAGGAGCACCCACAATGTCAGTCCCATGATAACCCAGGTAACCCAGTTCTTCACCTAGAGGAGATCAGCACTGAGGTGTGGACAGCACCCATTTGGTCAGTCTGGACCAATCTGTTTTGAAGACATTCCACTGCAGAACAGAAAGTTGGAGAAAAACTGCTTCAATTCACATCTTTATAGTCAAGAAAAAGGCTCATATGGCAGCATGGCTTGCCTGGGATGGAGCAGGGGCCCCAATATTTGAGAAGATTAGCATTATCTCTCCAGAGATCCTTTGAAGCTGGAGACTTTTTAACACCTCCCAGGTGCCTCCACATTTATATCTCTCACCTGAAACTCTCCTGACTCCTTCCCCAACTGCCAAGATAAATCAAAATGCAACAGGTCCAAGTGAAAATCTTCATGTCTTCACTCTATCCTTAATGCTGGTTGCCCACACACCAAGCCAAAGGCTGAATCCTGACCCCCAAAGTATCAGGAGGGGCCTCCAGGAGGGGATCAGGTCATGTGGATGTCTTTAGGAGTGAAATTAGCGTCCTTATCAAAGAGGCCCAGGAGCTCATTCACCTGCAGGGATGCATGCAGAAGGCCTCTCCATGAGCCAGAAAGGTCAAGACACAGAATGGCACCTTGATCTCAGACTGTCCAGCCTCTGGGATGGTGAGGAATGACTTTATGTCATGTATCAGCTACTTGGTCTATGGTACTTAGTTATAACAGCCTGCACAGATAGAGACAACCTCCCTCTAAACCTGCTGCTCCTGGAGCATTTCAGTCAATGGAAGATCATGGTTCCTGTTCTCAGGACCTAACCTGGGAGTCACCTTTGTCACCTCACTTTCAGCAGTCCATCAGGACAATTGGCCCCATCTCTGGAAATAACAAGCCTTTCCCAAGCTTTCCTCCACTGTCCCCACTGGATCTCAGCTTCATCTCTCCCAGCCTTTTGCCTCTTGCCCTTCAGGCCTGTAACAACTCCTGGCCACCTCCGCTCAATAGAGCACTCTGAAAGATGTCCCCCAGTATGGAGCAGACCCTATGAGTCCTCTGATCTAAGCCCTATGTTGATTATTCATCTTATTATCAGGACAGGAAGGGAAGGGAGCAAGACTAAGAAGTAGATCTGGCTCCAATGCCAAATTCATCCCTGATTTTAGAAAAATGAGAAACTCTGTGACTCACTTTCCCCATATCTGTTCCTGCTTTAAAATCAATAGATGTGGATAATTTAAAAGAGAGAGGGGTTAGAAAACCAGGGGTCCTCCTTGTCAACCTTTAAACTCTGACTCACCATGAGGCCTGTGCTTCCTAATTCACAGTACCAGCCCTGCACCTTGTACCTCCATGCTCTCTTCCTCCTGCATGCACAGGCTCTATCCCTCCTGAAAGCCACTCTGCTTATGTACAGGTTCTTAGAGAGTGTGGTGACAGCTGCATATGGAACACTGAAAAATATAAAGGAAAAAGAAAAAAGAAAACAAAGCCCCAGAAGAGGAGAAAGAAAATCTCCTGTGAGGACTGGGTGGTGGCTGTATAGTTACAAGGGATGTGGTTTATATTCCTGGCAGGGCTTGGAAGTGCAAAAACCCAGCCATGCCCTGAACTCACCAACTCCTAAGAGCAATATCTGAAAACGTGGAGAACAATTAGTCTCTGTTTACCAAGGATCCCTGATCACTTGCTGGATTCCTCTCCTGTGACATAAACCACAGCCTTGGGCCAGGGTTCTGCCTGCTTCCCCACAGGAAGCCACTGTCCCAAAACCCAGATCTTGACATTTACTGTCAACATACCCCCTGGAAAATTCTAACAAAGATTTCTTTTTCTTTATCCACCCCCAATACAGCTTGTCCCCCAGCTTCCCATTCCTCTTCAGGCTCCATGGCCAGGTGTATTGCTACCTCAGATAGTCCAGTTGTCTCTGGTGCTGCAATGGGGATGCTTTGGGCTACAAGGAACCACATTCCCAACTAAATAAGTTCTGAAAGTGCTGAAAATTTAGAAGAAAACCTGTAAGGATGACACCAGGCATTACCTACCCTAGGTTTGCCAAGAAGAAGGGGAAAATAGCCATTTAGGGAGCAGCCTCTTTTTACTCCTACTTTGACAAGATATAAGAACATTTCCCAGGACTCCATTGGCCAGAGTGAGGTCATGGGAAGCCCTCACAAAAGGGAGCCCTGAGGTGTCTCACCAAGTGTCTGGGAGAGCCAGGACTGGTTTTGACCGCTCACCATTCCTTCCCATTTTATCTAGAAAAACCATGCAACAGGCAGAGAAGCAGGCATGGTCCAGAGGTAGACCTCGGCTTCCCCACTCACTCCCTTCTCTGCCAGCATCCTGCCAGGGCTTCAGCCTCATCACTTCCTCCCCCCAGGTGCACCTCTGGAACTGCCTCTTCCTAGACCTGCCTCAGATCACCTATCTCCCCAAAGACTGATGGATGCTGATCCCTCAAGCATGATGCTCAGCTGAGCACTCCAGCACCCAATGTCCTGGTGGCTCTCTTATCCACTCTGTTAGTTGGCTTTCCATCACTGTCACCAAAATACTCAAGAAACTCCCTAGAGGAGGAAAAGCTTGTTTCAAATCATGGTTTCAGTGCTTCAGTCCATGCCTGGCTGACTCCATCACCCTGGGCCTGAGGTGAGGCAGAACATCATGGTGGAAGGTGGAGGAATGCTTCTCAGCTCATGGCCACCAGAAGAGAGAGAGGGAGAGAGGGAGCTTCATTGGCCAGGGACAAAATATAATAAAAAAGGTACAACCCCAATGACCTCCTTACATCCTACTGACATATAATTGTCACCCATAAACCCCTTCAAATTATTAACCCACAAAATTAATTAATCCACTGATTAGGTTACACCTCTCAGGATATAATCATTTCACCTCTCAACATTTCCATATTGTGTCACACATGAGCTTTTGGGAGACACCTCCTATCTAAATATCATGTGCCTTACTAGATATAAACCTCCTCTCACTGAAATTCGAGGACTTTGGCAATATGGCCATGGATAAAATAAACTCAGTGCTGTTTTCATCTAGACCCTGAGAGGAGCTGACAAAGGGAAATGACCTTCCTGACAATAAGTGGCTCGTCCATGATCTCCCCAAGTCAACACAAGCACTGCTAATAGAATGAAAACCTCAGGCAAGACCACATGGTGGTCATATCAAAAACTAGGTGGAGACTGACTCTGAGGCCACAGAAATCACTGAGTCCATCCTTTTTCTAACCTGAGTGACAGCTGCCTCTTTACCAACATAGACAGGGACTCTCCAGTAATCTTCCCACCCCTGAGACAAAAGTAGTTAAGATTCCCAATCACCAAGCTGCCTCACTTCTTGACCCTGTCCTGACTCACATCTTGGGGTCACTGAATAGAAGCCAGGGGCACTGCTCCATGCTTCTTTCTGAGATACTTTTGTGTGGCTGTGGAGCCACCAGAAATCTGTGTAAACTGACTCTGACCACAGGTGACAGCCTGGTGAGCTTCATTGGTGGACATCAGCATCATGATATGTTTCTAATGTTATTTCCCTCAGGTCCCAATATCTACTTTAAAATTCAGAACTTTGTTCAGCATCACAGCTGGGTCTCTACATCCAGCTGACATTTTGCAAGAAATATGAAGAAAAGAGAAAGGAAGGTGTGGACTATATTCTAAATATGAATTTGCAGAATCCAGATGTGAGAAACTAAATGGGTCACAGGGCCTGCCACTGTAACAAAGAGAGTCCAAGGAAAAGATACACATGATGGAGAACCTGCAAACCAAGACCTGCACCAAGACATACCAAGTGGTGCATGGGGTGTCTTAGGCTTTCATCCTGTGGGCCATAGGGCTGGTTACTTCTGGAGGGAGGAGGGACTTGGGTTAGGATGCAGCCATGTGGGATGCTGGCAAGGTGCTGTTCCTGACTTGGTTCTAGGGTGTTTCACCCAATTTTTCACAAAGTTACACATTTTCACTGTGGTCCCCTCCCTGCTTTGTACTTGCGTGCTTTCCATTACTGTGACAAATGTCTGAGGTAATCAGCTTAGAAAGATAAAGGTATATTCTGGCTTACTGTTTGCAGGCTTCAGTCCATGGTTGGTTGCTCTGTTGTTCTTGGGCCTGGGGTGAAACCACATATCATCCTGGAAGTGCATGGTGGCAAGTGACTCACATCATGGTGGCTGGAAAGCAGAGTTGGAAATGAAGAGGCCAAGGTTCCTCAGTCCCCTATCAGGAAGCTCCCACTAGCCCGTCCTTAAAGGTCTCACCTCCTCCGAATAGCACCTGTGGCTGAGACCAAAGCTTTCCCACCTGGGACTATAGGAGTCATTCCAGATTCAAACTTTAGTAGTGGTAGTACTTAATTTAAAAAGGAAAGTATTGGAAGTATACTCTCCACTGGTCTTTTCTTACAGATAGGAGTCTATAGATGGGAGAAGCCAGGAGTCCACCAGGAGAGACAACAGCTTGACCAGGGAGGCCAGAGCAATGGAGGCGTGGAGTGCAGGCCAGGTTCTGTATGCACTGGAAGTAAGAACCAGCACAGCTGCTGGCAACTGAATGGAGCATAAAGAAAGAGAAGATGGCACCAGGGTGGAGTTCAGGGGCATAGTGCTTGCCTGGCATGTGTGAGGCCCTAAATTCCATTCCCAGCAGCACAAGATAATTTTTTAAAAGAAAGAAATAGGACACACAAGATCAGGCCTGTGCCTCTCCTTCCTTTGTTGCACAACCAGACAATAAAAACTCTTTCGCCTTAGGTTGGTATTGGTCACCCCTGGGGTGAAACAGAAATATGCAGGTAGATGTCAGGGAAATCTGCTTTGCAGCAATGAGTCCCCATTCCCCTGGCTTGCATTCTTGTCCCTGGCAGGTGCGAGTAACTTTGTTTCTGTTATCCCAATAGCTGAGGGTGCCTGGCCAGGGCCCAGCAGTAATGCAGGCACAGGCAGGATTTACCGGGTCCAGGGGCGCTGTCAGTCTATACCCCAGAAGAGTCCTGGTGTCCCCTGTGTCACCAGATCATCCACTGGGAAGGTGCTCTTGGCAGGAAGGCTGCCTGCAGCTTCAGTTGTACAGGGTGGGGCCTGGGGAGTCTGTAGCCACTTGCCCTTGGAGTGAGGGAACTGATCCCAGGGACAAAGGCAGCTGCCTCCTCCCCAGACTCACATTGTTAGTTGATTGGTGAGCCCAGAAATCTGCTGCTTTGGGAAAAGAGGGAAAGTGAAATAGATCCTACTTTAAGAAACCCCAGAGTCCCAGTTATCTTATTTGTTAAGAAAAAGGGATTTCATTTTCTATATATTTCCTCATTTAAATCTACACTCAGATCCAAGGAAAAGAGTATTGCAGATTGAGATCCCCACTTTGCCTTGATCTTTATCCCAGAACACTTGCCCCTAAGGTAGAAAATCTCCTGTCCTTCAGGGCCAGCTGTCCTGGTTTTCCCAGCTCCAAGTAACATACTGTATGCACTCAATAAAAGTTAATTTTTCAAGAGTGAATGAAGGAGTAATCCAATAATATTTCTGAAGCATCCTTATACTCAATATGTAGCCTGTGTCTCATGATGCTTTTCTTACACAATCTCTCTTTCTTGCAGGTCACATGGCAGAATTCCTTATCTTTATTCACCAGATCCATATTTTAGAGTGGTAGGTAGTTTTGCGTACACTCACACAGCATTTATACTGTACCCACTATTTGCCAACCACTGCTTTACAGTAGATTACGATACATCAATAAATAAAAAAAAAACCTGTATTGTTGGTGTCAATCTGATGAATAGAAGCATACAACAAATAACAAATACAATAAATAATCCAGTAATTCAGAAAAAAGTAGATCTATGGCGGGGGGCGGGCAGAGTATCACAAGGGATCTGATGCAGAGAGAGGGACTGACTGTGTCATCCTAATATCTTATCACAGGAACAAAAGTTTCAGAACCTTCTTGTATGTCTGCTGAAGAGCAACCTTGACTTTGATTTTCATTTAATAGTGAGCTAAAATATATTAAATGAGAAAACCAAAACCCTAGAAAAAATACAGAAGTATTACTGAGCCTATAGAAGAGGAAATAAAAATAAAAATGCCTAGGATTCTCAGAAGTTATTGATTAGATTCATAAATAATTTTTTAACAAAAGTTACAAAGATCTAGATCCCTCTGCATAAAGCCCAGGCCTTTAATGGCTGAGGCAGAACAGCCCTAGCACAGCATTCTTTAGGAGCAATATTTAAAGGAAATGTGCAATTTTTATCCCATAAAGGACTAAAGAAATATGCTGTGTCATAACAAGACAAGTAACTGGAGATGTGTTTGTACATCTCTTACTTCATGTGATATTCATGATCCCTAGCTAGAGCACAGTGTGTGACCTGAAAGTGAGAACCAGCTCCCAAAATCTATTCAATTTTATCTTCTAGTTCTGTTTTCCCCTCATTTTTTTAAACTCTCTGATATCCATCCAGAATTGCTTGATTTTGGTGTGCAGGATATCGTTTTACTAAAATGAAGTTTGATTGTGCATGTGTTTTCCTAGGAGGAATTGGTTTTTCTTCATACTATCATGGCCTCCAACCCTTAGGTTTTCCTAACTGTATGGTCATGAAATTTAGGGCCATTTTTCAGACCAACTCCCAGGATCTTGTTAAGTGCTATAAGAAAGAGGATACAAAATGAATGCGATATGAGCTTGCAGTACACCACCATCTGCACAAAGCACGTTGAGAGCCAGTAATAACAGGACCCTGTGAAGAGGACACAGAGATAGTTCTGGGGATTAGGAAAAGCCAGACCTCTACCCAAAAGCTCTGGACAATAAATGCAAAGGATATAAAATTCTCATTGTGGAACAGGGCCCATCCAGCTAAATGGCAGCCAGTGAGTATGTGAAGGCAGGACTTGAACTGATTGGGGGGAAGTCAGCACGATAGGGATGTATCATGTATGTGACCTGGAGACTCAGAATTGGCCTGATGACTATGAAGCACTGGCTCTCATGGTTACAGAACAGGCTTCAAGGGTCTCCACACCTGAATTGCATAATCATAGGACTGTGTGTCTGACCTGGAGACAGGCAACCCACAGGGATCCCTGAAGTTCACAGACTTCAAATATAAACTGTGTTAAATGTCTGTTTTTATAACAGAAAAAGTAACAACTTTACATTACTCAGACTTCCCAGACAAAATCAAGGTGATGGTGCCTGATGAAATCTTCTGCAAATTGCCTCAACAATATTACAGTCCTCAGCACTGCAGTTATTAACAGACATACTGCCTTCTAAGTTTCACAGTAACATTGAGGTAGATGCTATAATTATCCTTCTAACTTCATTAAGTTCCATGGAAGCATGGACTTGGCCTATTCACTCTGTACTCCACACCTAGTATAGTGCCTAGCACACAGAAGTTGATCAAGCAAAGTGAATAAAGGACCCAAAGAAATTTTCAGACACAATTAAAAGTTAAAAAAACCCAGCAAAGTATCCCAGTCTGTGTGGTGGCAAAGTGCCTGAACCCAGACCTCAGTATCAACATACAGAGCAGACTCAACTCTAAGACATTCTTAACACCAAAATGCGAGGAGTAACCTGAGCTTAGCTACCACCAAGTGTGGCTGGGTCAATAGACACCAGTGACCAGACAGCTGTCAGGACCATGATGAGTTGGGATTCTTTTTCATAGTTTTAACTAATTTGCATTTGGTCATAAATTTTCATGCAATTCATATAAAAATCCCAAAGACAATTCTTCACAGAACTCGAAAAAACAACCTTGAAATTCATGTGGAAAAATAAGAGATGCAGAATAGCCAAAGCAATACTTAGCAAGAAGAGTGAAGTAAGACATATCATAATAGTATAGCTTATACTATACTACAGAGCCACAGTAACAAAAACAGCATTGTATCGGCACCAAAATGACACAGATACGGATGAATAGTACAGAATAGAAGACACAGAGACAAACTCAAAAAAACACAGTTATCTCATAGTAGACAAAGGCACCCAAAACATACATTAATAAAAAAAAGCATATTCAAAAAATGGTGCAGGGAAAATTGTTAAGCCACATAAAACTAAAAGAAAGTAAAGCCCTCTCTCTCACTCTGCACAAAACTCAATTGAAAATGGATCAAAACTTAGGCACTAGAACAGAGACCCTGCACCTAATAAAAGAAAAAGTAAGCCCAAATCTTCACTATGTCAGCCTAAGATCTGACCTCCTTAAGGAGAATCCTACATTCCAAAAAGTAAATTCAAGAATCAATAAACAAGACAGACTCAAACTAAAAAGCATCTTCTCAACAAAGGAAACAACCAATAATGTGAAAAGAGAGCCTACCAAATGGGAGAAAATTTTCACCACATGCACCTCAGAACATTAATCTCTATGATTTATGCAGAACAGGAAAAAAATTAACACCAAAAAAACAAATAACCAAATCAATAAATGGGCTAAGAAATTGAAGAGACACTTCACAGAAGAAGCAACAAACACATGAAAAAATGTTCAACCTTTAACCATTAAAGGAAAGCAAATCAAAACTACTCCAAAATTTCATCTCACCCCAGTCACAAACATGATTATCAAGAATACAATGATCAAGTAACAATATGTTGGCAAGGATGTGGGGAAAGGGTGCATGCACACATTGCTTGTGGGACTGCAAATTGGGGCAAACATTCTGGAAAGCAGTATGGAGATACCTCAGAAAACGTGGAATGGAACCAACATCTGACATAGCTATCCCTTTCCTCATTTTATACCCAAAGGACTTAAAATCAGCATATTACAAAGACACAGCCACATTATGTTTACAGCAGCTCAACTCATAACAGCTAAACTATGGAGCTAACCTAGGTGCCTTTTCAACAGATAAATGAATAAAGAAAATGTGGTGTGTATGATTTTATATATATATATATATACATGTATACACATACACACACAAAAAAACCAATTTTACAGACATATATATGATGGAATACAACTCAGCCTTAAAGAAGAATGAAATTATGTCATTTGCTGGGAAATGGATGGAGCTTATCATGCTTATAAGTGATAAGCCAATCCCAAAAAAACAAAGATTGAAAGTTTTCCCTGATATGCTTATGATAATCACAGTAAGGGGGTGGGGTAGGGAAG